ATGCTATCTTGCTGGCTGAGGACAACTCCAGGACTAGTCAGTGATCGAGCTGGGCACAAGCCAGGTCATTCTCCACGCACATCAGGGACATCTCTCTGCAGAGCCTCAGATCCCTGGGGCTGATAGGAAGTGGAACCCTGCACCCTGGCCAGCACCAGTCAGGTCAGGGCTAAGCCTGGAGCTGGTGAACTGGGTCATGACGGGACACTTGAAGGGCTCCTGAGACCTCTCCTGGCAGAGATCCTCTTTCCCTCCCACTACCCTAATACCCACCTCCCTACTCCTGTCAAAGGTACTATTGCAGACTACTATTTCAGGTTAGTGTCTGTCTCCAGAACTATCCAGAAGCATTCCCACAAGGTATCATGCGCAGGACCTGGTATACAGAAGGTGCTCAGTAAACATGTGGCTCACYGGCTTGCAACATCTTGAGCCCCAGTGTTTAGCTTAGCTGCTACCTGGTCCTCTGGCAATACCAGGCACATGTCCTGGGTCTGAGATGGAGAGGGGTCTTAGATGACATGCTGGGTTTCTTTGGCCCCGTCTCAAGGCCATCCGTTTTCAGGGAATCCTCCAAAATAGAATATACCATCCTCAGCTCTGGCCACAGAATCATGCTGGTGCTGCCCAGGCTGGAGAAGTGGCCCCTGGACCCACAAACCTGCAACCGGGCCATGTCTGTCACCAAGAAGCCAGGCCTAGCTCCAATTTCTGGAATGACCATCATGATCACAGCCATTATAATAAGCTACTCTGTTAACTGGGAACTCACCATGTGCCAGATCTGTGCTGAGCACCTGGCCAGCCTCATGGTTACCCCAAGAAGTGCATCCTGTTGCCAACACACTTTAGAGAGGAGCACTAATCTGCCGAAGTRCACTCCACAAGTAAGGAGCAGCACTGCAGTTGGGTCTGTCATTTGAGACCTGTTTGCAGAGYGCCTACTATGGGCTGGATCCTGCAMTGAGTGTGGGGAGACCCCAGTGAACCCGACTAAAACCTGGGTTTTAGCTCTGCTTCTGCTCTGACTGCCCCAAGAGTGACAGTCAAGGTTGTCCCTGGAGTTCTCAAAGCCAGTGGAAGGAGAGGAGCAAGAGAACTAGTGCATGGGGAAGCCAGGCCTGGAGCATGGAGCCAAGCTCTGCCTCTGGTGACAAGTGTGCTTGACATAGTCTTGATACTTAGAGCCACAAGAGAGCATAGGGTGATGTCATCATTACCTAGTGCTGTGTAATGAACCACCCTAAACCATGACTGACACAATCTGTGTGTGAGGATTGCTTATGATCCTGTGTTGATGGGTTTGAACTGGATRTTGTTCAGCTGGAGTTCCATGGGTGCTGGTGTCATCTAGGGATGACACTTTGGGTCTCCACCTCATGGCCTCATCCTCTAGGGACTCTATCTCCACATGGCCTCCCTCCAACAGGACAGCCTAGACTTCTTTACATGCCACTGTCTTCTAAGAGGGTGAAAATGGAAATTCTAAGAGCCACACAATATCACCTCTGCCGTGTTCTGTTGGTGAAAGTCAGCCATGGGGCCAACCTAGGATGCAGGGAGACACCCTAGAGTACCACAGACACGGGTCCTTCAGGGTTTCCCCTGTGCCCAGGGTTAGGTGACACTCTCACCTGTTTTACAAATGAGGACACTGGGAGGCCAGGAAAGCTGCTCAAGATCACAGAGCTGCTAAGTGGCAGAGCCAGGACTTGAACCCGGGTAGCCTGGATCTTGTCTTAACAACTAAGCTGTATGGCCTCTTAATTTAGGCAAATCATCAATGGGCCCTGGTTTCCTTATCTGTAAAGTGGGGGTTCGATTATATAACATGTGTAAAGTGCATAGCCAGTGCCTGGTCAGCACTCAATAAGCAAATGTTGTGTTGCGGCCGACAACCTAGAAGGATGGCCAGAACCGCAGGCCTCTGAGTCAGCCTCAGGAGAAGGCCCAGCAGAGTGGACTAAGCCCGGCCAAGCTCTGGAGACTTGGGTTCCAGTCCCACCCTCTGCCACCAACCAGCATTACGCCTTTGGGCTCCTCCCTTTCCTGCATCTTTGCTGTGTTGCTATGTCACCAGTGCATGGTGTTCTGGGTAGACCTTCTGGAGACCTTCCTTCAGAAGCCCTTTCCCTTCAATCAAGTGGTTCAGGGGTTAAATAGCATTGTCAGGGGAGGGGTGCAGTGAACCAGGCTCCCTCCTGAGGTCCCAAAGACCCAAACTTCCCACCTCATCCTGTTTATTCTCTGCCATGTATGGACACACCACCCCAGTGGGTAGCAAAACAAGACAATGAGAAATGAAATCAGGATAAGAAGAGCAAAAAAAAGAGAGAGACAGGAAAAATTGACAGGCCATGGCAGATGAAGAGTCAGAGAGTGAGGGAGAGGAAGGACCAGGGAGAGGGGCCGGACATGTATAGAGGTTCCACAGGAAAAAACAAAACCAAACAAATAATGCCTCCACCTCCACAGTGCCATGTTGTTTACAGAGTCCTGTCACCTGTGATTGCATTTGGTTCTTTCAACAGAGGTGAGGTAGATATTTATCTTAGTCCGAAAATACAGTTAGGAGTGGGAACCACCGAGAGGGAGAGAAAGAGAGAAGCTGATGTAAGACAAAATGGATGTACTAAGTTWAAAAAGCAGAAGAAGAAAAGAGAGAGAGAGAGAGAGGGAAAATAGAGAAATGAGCAGAAAGAATAGTGTAGGTAAAAAATAGGGAGATGGCTACTGAGCCCATGTCCACTTGGCCAGYTGGCCTATGGTTGGGCCCTTGGGTCCCCACCAGCTGAACTGCGCCCAGCAGTGGGCCAGCAGAGACCCCAGGAGCTCCCTTTGCCAACCCCTTGGCTCAGTCCATCGAGTTTCCTGGGAATGACTCTCCTGCCGCCCTGGCATTAACCTAGTTAAGCCGCTCTCCCTCCATGGTGCCATTTCCTCCCATCTCGGCTCCTTCCTGTTCCTTCTCTCCTTCAACACCGAATCCTACCAGCAGCCCCTGGGGTGGATCAACAGGCCTGCCCGCTTCATTCCAAGAGCCCAGTCTCGGTGGCTCCCCAGCACTCTCCCCTCGCCTAGAGCTAATGAGCTGGGCTTTCCAGACCGCCTTATTTCCCAGCAGCCCCATCCAAGCCACCTCATTATGCCAACCGCCTGCCAGAGGCACCAGTCAGCGGGAGCCCGAGCTTCTTAATGAGGCCCAGGAGGCCTCCCAGCTCTCCCGCTCCCCTCCACCACCTCCCACCACACCCCAGGACCCTCCCTCCTCTGCCTCTTCCTCCCTCTCATGCCCACACCAGCACCCCCAGGACTGGACCAGTCCTGAAGGGAGGTGACAGGAAGGCCATCTTCCTGAGACAGGCCTGCACACACCTGCCAGACCAGCCCAGTGTGCCCCCAGCCCTCCAAGTCCCCTCCAGTCTGCAAGAGGAAAGCCCAACTTTGGAAATGGTGAGGCTGCAGCCTGGGCCTGAGGAAGCCAGCTCCCCAGCGCCCTCAGCCATTAGCCGTCTCCACATCATACCATTTCCCTGAGCCCCAGCTTGCCTGTCCATAAAACAGAGAAGGCACTACTGGCCTCTTGGGCTGTTGTAAACGAATTAGTGCACGCAAACTTCAGACCCCCACACAATGAAAAGCTCTCTATAAATGGCAACAATTACTACTATCACTGTTATTATGTACTTCTGGCTTATGGAGCAGTCTGAATTGGAAAGGGTATAAAAAGGAAACTTAAACAGTCATTGCCTCCCACCTGTCAAATCCCCCTGATACCATCCTCCAACAGCACTGAGCAGCTCTCCAAGCCCTGGGGCCWTTTTGGTTATCCAAAGTCCAGCTAGGAAGAGTGTACACCCTCACCCAGCACCTGTTTCTACCTGGCCTTCTCCCCATCTCTTGTGAGTGGGGTTCCAGATGTGGAATGGATGGGGACCCTTGCTCAGACCCTCCGAATCTCCCATTCCAGCAGAGGTAGGGAGTGAGATCATTCTGGGTCCAGAGCTTCTGGCTCTGTGGCTATAGCCCCACAGCCTCCTCTGAGCCGAGGACCCCTGTCTATTAGGAAGCCCTTGAGAGAGGATTTCTGRGCACTTCCTGCCTGCAGAGCTTAAGCCACACACTTGCCACACCCAACGAAGTGCCCTGGGCTCCTGCCCTCTGTGCTCTGTGGGTCCCCTAAGAGGCTTTGGGAAAGGCCAGCTGGGTCAGTGCCCGGCAGATGCTACTAGGAACCTGCATGTCAGGCTGTCTGTCTTGCAGGTGCCCGATCTCTATGAACTGCTTCTCCAGGGGATACCACAAGAACACTAGCCCTCAGGATATAATTCTTTCTTCTTTTCCCATCCCAGTCTTCTTTGCTGTCCCATGCAGGAGGAGGACTGGGTGAGGTGGGGTAGCAGGTCCTTTGAGGAAGCCCCGTTTTTAGCCTCTGTGTTGGGCCCTTGCTGCCTCTTCTAGGGTAGTGAGAAAAATCCCAGCCAAGTCCCGATTTATCATTATTTTTTATTTAGGGAGGACTCCAAAGGACAAGGGTGACTCTAGAAACAGCACATTGGGGACAGGCTGTGGGTCTGACCCTCCTAACACTCAATAGCTAAAGCTTGTCCCCAGTGTGAACACTGCCACATGAKGGGTGGTTTGATCTGCCAGGGCAGGGTCTATGCTGGTCAGAGTAGTCCACTRGGAGAGATCCGGAGGCCCATGACTCCAGTCAGCACGCACCAACGCCAGGTGACACCCACAATCATTGCTGTTGCCCTGGAGACCGAGTCACAAGTCCTGGTAAGGTCTAGGATCYTGCACTGCCCACGTGACCTTCTGAGCACCACCTGTGGAAGAGGAGTGGTCAGCCACCCCCGTGATGTGACTGTGGGGATTAGAGTCCAGCTGAGTATTTGTCCCTAGGGAGCCCTGGACCCTTGTGAGGGGCAGGCTGGCACCCTCCACACCCTACCCACTGTTTCTACCCAAGGCCACAGCTCTCCCTCTCTCCCCAGACGTTCCGGTGGCCAGTGGCCAGCAACATTGACAGAACCGAGATGCTCGAGATTCAGATTTTCAACTACAGCAAAGTCTTCAGCAACAAGTAAGTGTGGGGTGGGGTTGGAGGCCTGCCCTGCTCCTCGGATGACCCTCTCTTTGGGCTCAAATTGGGACCTGCACCCCTGGCCTGCCCTGGGCAGATCTTCAAAGACCAAAGAGGTCTTGGGCTGGTCTCTGCTGCCATTCTGCTCCTTCATGATGTCCTCAGAGGACCCCATTTCAGAGTAACCATGGTCAGCCAAGAGCACCTCACTTCCTGTCCACCCTTCTGTCCCCAGCCCTGCCCAGGCTTCCTGTCCTTTTCTTTAAGCTCCCCTCTACCCTATGCTGGGGGGACAGCAACCCATGAGAGAAGCTAGAGACAGAATGGCTGACACTGTCCTACTGGCCATCTGGGGCCTTGGGAATGAACTTGTCTCACAGAAGCTGGGAAGCAGTTTGGCTGATGGTTTAGAAGACAAGCATGATCTCAGATCCCAGGTCAGTCATCTACTGTGTGACCCTGGGCAGCCTCCATAACCCCTCTGAGTTCAGTGTCTTCTTGTGTCATTTACCACAAAAGGCAGCTGTGAGATGAATGAGAGAGAGCCGCTCATTCATTCAACAAATGTTTACTGAGCACCTCTGTGTGTCAGCACAAAACTAGGCACCGGCCTGGAGGAGCTTTCATTCTGGAAAGGAAGTACACCCTCCACATGAGCATTGTCACTATGAGGTGTCCCATAAGGGTGTCCCCTTTTTCCCATGTGACATACAGAATTCAGAAGAACTTTAACAATTTAGAATTGTGGTTAAATGTGAGAAATATAAAGTTTGGATTCAAAACTTAATTAATCTTGGCTTCAAAATTAGTTGCTCCTGTGTAAGATGGAGGAGGTCATGTCTTAACTGCAGTGTGCCCAAAAAGGTGTGGAGATATTCATTCAGTGATGGCTCAGTGTGACTCAACAGTGGGAGGAAAGTACAAACCAAAAACATCTAACCGAATCCTAGGTCATATCAGTAGAAGTAGTTCAATCTGAGCCAGGGAGGATGAGGGGTCCACTCTTCTTATATTGGTTGCAGAAAACTTCAATAGACAACACCTGGGGTTGCCTGAGAGAAGGGACTTTAAACCTTGCTTTATGACAAGAGAATGTAAGCCTAAAGGAGAAGGTCATAAAGGACATATTCATCTGTTCACCTGTCCATCTACTCATCCATCCACCTATCCATCCATCCACCCAGCCAGTCATCGCCAAACATCTACTGAAGGAACACCCTGTACCAGACGGACACCAAGCCAGTCATTAGAGGGGCTAAAAGGAAGGATCAAGGCACAGGCCCTTCGTGTGAGGTTTGTTGCCATGGGAAGAGGAAAAGAAAACATGTGCTTAAGCAAAACGAGGACCAGGCTGCCTTGCTGGAGGAAGCAGATGGCAGAGTCAGGGCGCTCCAACCAATGCACCGCCATGGGAGCCCCCAGCACGGGGAGAGGGTGAGCCCAGAATAGACCACGTGGGGATGTCCGAGTCAGGAAGGGCTGGGCTTCATGGGCTGCGAGRAGTATTTGATTCTGTGGGATTTATTAGGAGCCCTGGAGACCTCTGAGTGTGGGGCACAGGCACTTCTGGGCTTCTGGCAGGGCTGCAGGGAAGACACTCAGGGCCTGGAGGCCTCCTCTTTGCCTTGAAGCAGGTCACAGCATTCAGGCAGCTGCCTCGGGTAGCTACAAGACAGGTTGGTCAGAGACACCTACCTCTCCAGGGATCCCCAAGATGAAGCATGGCCTTCTTCCCTGGGGTGAGATACCCAAGTGACCTATGAAGACAGGAGTCACAGGAACAAGAGAAGGGTCCAATGCAGACCACGTGGATGTGGGGAGGAGGCAGAATCAGAAGCTGAGTGCCAGRAAGGGTACCCAGGAACCCCAACAGGGACCAGTCCACAGATGTCAGAGCTTCCATGAGCCTTAGAGCTCAGCAGAGCAAGCCTCCCCGTGCCACACAGGGATATGCTGGGAGTTAAGGCTGCACACAGGTGTCCTTAGTGCCGAGAGAGGGAAGCCCCAAGGGGCTCTGCTTCCTATCCYTCCCTCCCTACCCTTCCTGTCCCCATCCAAGAGAAGACAGGGGAACCCTCAAGGGGCATCCAGGCCTGATGGGAGAGGGTCTGCAATTTCTCAGAAACCCAGAGAATGTCCAGCACACTGTGGGCKGAGAGATGGGATGGGGGTAAGGAAAGACGGCTCGTGGAGACACAGGCCCGTCCTGACCTGGGCCAGCTTGCGGGGAGGGGTGCTTGGAGTCAGGTGGGGCTCAGGACTTCCCATCCTGGATTCGGGGCTTTATTTCTCAGAGCCAAAGAAAAGGCCCATCTGCCCCCCACCTGGTGATCTAGGGGTTTCTGGGAGATGGAGACATGGTGGGAAACAGGGAAGCATCCTAGTCCAGAGCAAAGAGTCTTCCATGTCTGCTTGGCGCTGCCTGGAACAAGGGCCTCCTTCCAGGAAACTTGAGCTTCCCAGGAGGACGAGAGGCTGGATTCAGAGTTCTTGGGCATCCTGCTCTGCCTGTCCAGGATCTTGAGGGGCAATGGCCTGGCCCAATTGCCAGGTTCCTGGCTGCTGAGGATGCCAGGGTTCCTGAATAATTCAGAAACCAGGAGCGCAGTGGAGGCCTGAGGCATTTGACACCGGCTCCCAGGGGGACACAATGAATTATTGATAGGATTCTGGTGCCCAGTTGCCAATCTATTGTGGTCAGTCTATAGACCCATCTACACCGGGGCCTCCTTCCCTACTGGCTAATTACCTGAGACCCCCCTGGCCCTGCCCTGCAAGCCAGGCACATCCACGGGTTCTTCCAGCAGGGTTCTTCCTGGTGATGGATGGCTTAGCTAAATGGCCCACATAAGGGAAGTTGCAGAGGGTGTGGGGTTAACTCCCAGATCCTTCACCAAACAGCCTGGGGGGAACATTCCCAGAGAAGGCCCTTGCCCATGGTCACACGGCAGGTTCAGGGCAGAGCTGGGTTTTCAATCCCAACCTCCTGAGCCCTAGGCCAGTGCTCCTTCTCACAGACCACATGGCCTCTTACCTCCATTTGCAGGGAATCAACCCTGCCATCCAAGGGGTAGATAAGCCCACCCTTCCTCCATCACCTTGGGTGCTGCTGTCCTGTGCTGAACCACCCAGAGGAGAGAGAACTGCTGTATTTAAGGCCAGGCTKCGCAAAAGGCAGCTGGGTGGGCAGGGTGGCTTTGGGGTTGCCACAAGGGCAGGAGCCAAGGGCTTTCCTGCCCCATCTTTCCTGGCTCCTTCCCCAGGGAATGCCTGCGAGGAGGGCTGATGGTGGCATTCCCATTGTTTTGAAGCTGTTTCCACGGCAAACACCTTGTCTTTTGCTTATAGACCTGTAAAAGGTGCAAGGTTTTGTAAACTTCTTAATATTTTATGTAAGACTTAGATACAATCAATTGTCCATTTCAAAGAATATTATTTTTATTTGGAAGGGGCTCTTAGGAGTCAAAAATCCCCAAGTCACTCCCTGGAGGTGCGGCAAGTTGATCCCTTTGAGGATGCCCAGCTTCCAGGCTGGAGCCAGGCTATTCAGGCTCATGAGGCTGGGCAGAGGTGGGAGGGTCAGTGGCAGCCTGGATCTGCTGCCAGAGTCCAGCCTGCAAAGGAACAGCCTTGCCTGGGCCCTCCACCCTGCCCCACCTCAAAGGAGTGTCTCTGTACACCCTTCAGGGAAGCAGGTGGCATGGCCTGCAGACAGGCTGGAGCACAAACCAGAAAGCATACAACTGCCAGGTGGTGGAATCTCCCTTAGACTCCGCTGGCTGAACTCATATCTGACTCCGGACTCTGGCTCTTTCCACTGTCTACACTGGCCATTTAGTCTACAGGGTGTAGGCAGGGTTGGGATTCTCCGGGAGATTAAACTCAGTCCTCCTGAGGTGCGATGAAGGCCGTGGAGACTGGCCTAGCAGTGGGAGCCTCGTGGAGTAGTGGGGTCCTGGTGCCCATCACTGGTGTGTCCAGCAGAGGCTCCAAAACCTGGTCAGGGAGGTTGCTTCAGACATCAGCGCTGGACAAGCTGTCCTCTCAGGACCCTCCCAAGTCTAAGGCAAGGGAAGCCCCAAAGGCACCAGAGGCTTCTCTGAGCACTTGCAGGTGAACAGCTCCTTCCTSCCCCCTGGGGGTGTCTTGTCACACACTGCAGAACCTCTGCTGAACCTGGGGAACGTTCTTGGCTGTTCCTGGGCCTATGAAGATGGGGACAGATGTGCCTGAGTTCTAGCTTGCAGCAGGTCCTGGTGGAGTGACAGTGTCCTAAAGAGCCAGTCGGCAAAGTGTGATGTAGCAATTAAGGTTCTCGAGTGTGCACTGCAAGCGGCAGCATCAGCGTCACCTGGATACTCCTCAGAAATACACACACGGCGTTTCTCCAGCTGAGGAGACACCAGGATGGGATTGGGCCTTCCCTGGGGCTGGTCTAAGAAGAGGCTAGAAGCCCAGTTACGTTTTAGACTGGAGGGGTGACGGACAATTTCACCTTTAGGGAGATGGRGTCAGCTGGCAGATGGGGCTCTGAGCTCTGGAGGGAAACATTTCCTACGTCTCCAACATGGCTGCTCCCAGCACTTCTTCTTCACACAGATGGATTCCCCGCCCGCTCTTTTTTAAATCAGTGTTCATCCTCCATAGCCCTCAGGATGGTATAGACGTCGAACACGTCTCAGAGTTCATCTGATAGCTCACCTCACACCTCACCTCACATCTTTAGGGGGCCATGTACCTCAGAGACATGCTGCCCTGGCCAGATGTGACATTAATYATGTTCCTGTCTCCTTTCTCAGCCCCACCCTCCTCCTCTCTAAACCAAGGGCAGCACAGTTGAACCCCAGGAGCCTTCCRGCTCTCACACATGGTACATGTCCCCAGGGTCTTTGTTCCTTCTACAGAAATGGGGTATGTGTTCTAACGGACCCAGATGGAAGCRCCATGTGAGTTCACCTCTCTGAGGASCCTGCTSTGTCCCAGAGCAGCAGGGGACAGAGCAGGGACACCCACTGTTGCTCACTAATTCAGCCAACAGATACTGAGGTCTCTAAGCATGCAGGAAATATCAAATACAGGCAGGACACAGAAACCACCACCAGTGTGGGCGTGAGGACCTCAAGATCAGTGGAGTGGAGGAAAGGGACCAGGGTGAGGGAGGAGGGGGGGAAGGGGAATTGCTGGGGAATTGTATTGTTCTATCGTGTGCATGAACAAATATGTRCCAACAAATCCCACTGTTTTAGGACTGTAATGTAGCAATTAAAAACTATGTGGAAAAGAGAAAATACACTGACCCTGGTTCACAGCCTAGAGGCACTGCACAAACAAGGACTAGAGCATCTCATCCACTTGGTGAGACAGGGGTCGTTAGCTCAGCTTAGGAGCAGACAGACTCAGAGAGTGTAGGTGAGTTCCAGGGACAGATGCCTCRCTGATGTGAGAGCTGGGTCTCAAACCCCAGTCTCTCTGACCACCAGACTGTGCTTCTAACCCCAATGCTGCATGCCTGTCCGCTGCTGTGCAGTTGGAACATGGGATTCTGCCGTGGCACAGGTCCTAGCCCTCGAGGAGCTTGGGGATTGCGGATGAGGATGGTATTGGCGATGGGCAGCCTTGCCCATGGTTTAAGAGGTAGAAAGGAGGAGCTTTGTGTATCCAGCAGCCTCAGTCCTTCCCAGAAGCCTCCATTGGACCCCTGGAAGCTGCTCTGGAGGGTCTCAGCTGAAACCTACTCCCACGTGCCCTGGCCCCAGGCCATGAACTTTATTTATCCCAGGGTTCTTCTCCCCAGACTCTCCTGAGAAAACAGGCCWCACACATATAACCACACACACCTGTAGGGGTCACGTACCCTTCTGGACATGCTGCCCTGACCAGGTGGGCCCTGACTCCTGGGCCATTRTCTCTAGCACCAGCCCAGGAGTCCTGTCTCTTTCCCAGCTTTTCATGGCCCTTGGGATGYAGCCTTGCTCCTCACTGTGGCTTCTAGTGTGAAGCCACCATGCCTCCTTGCCATTCACAGGCTGATCGGGACTTTCCGCATGGTGCTGCAGAAGGTGGTGGAGGAGAACCACGTGGAGGTGAYCGAGACTCTGATCGATGACAACAATGCTATCATCAAGGTGGGTGTGACCAGAGTCCCTGGACGTTCCCATCATAGGGAGAGGGGATCTGCTTCACTCCCTCTCCCCGATACACAGGGTGGTCTGGAGAGAGCCTGCATGGCAAGGCACGGTGGGCAGAAGAGACTGAGGACACTGGTAGAGACACTCAGTCTGGTGACCGGTGCTGAATCCTCTGTGGCATGGACACCCCAGACCTTCCTATAATGACACTAGGAGATGGAAGGTGCCATTCCTTCTCTTCCATTGAGTCCTTCCACTTGGATTCCMCTTGGGAATCACTAAGGAGGCTTCTCTCATCATCCAAAGCCAGACTGAGCCCTGCTGGGCCCCGAGCCTCCACTCTGTGCATCTGACTTGGCTCCTCTCAAAGGCCAGTCATTCTGGGAGGGCAGGGGCCTCATTTTTCACTCCACTTGTCACACTCCAGCCCTTCAGCCTGAGCACASGTGCCCTAGTGACACCGTCCAGCACTTAACACATGTCCTAAGAAAGGAGGGGTAAAGCCCTGGCCACCCAGCCCCCAGGCTCTGTTCTCACCTGTCCCCTCCAGCTCTTCCCTGGATGCTCATGGGCAGTTGACATGGTGGTGAGGAGCCCAGCCCCGGGTATGAATCTTGGTTAGGCCACCTGCTAACGGTGACTTAGGCAGGGAACGTGTTATCTGCAAAGTGAACAGAAGTATGGTATCTACCTTTCAGGATTGTTCTGAGGATTAAATAGAACACACAGGAAGTGTTTAGAATGGGAGAGCACATAGTAAGGGCTCAATAAATAAATAATACTGTTAACTGTCATTTCCTGGCCTCATGTGTGTAATAGGGGCTGTACCATGGTCCCCCCATCACCTCCAAGGGTCTGCATAAAGTATGCCTTTATGTAGTAACTGTTAGAAAGAGCCTCAGAGGGCAGGACTGCAGCCTCAGGACCCAAAAGGGAAGGAGCCCTCTCTGAAGAGTGCTCAGAGTGGGGCAGAAATTTACACTGTGGCTTGGCATCTCAGCACATGGCCTCATAAGAACAAGAAGAACATCTGGGGCTTCTGAGCCAGGCCATTCTGAGCCAGGCCTACTCTCTCTCAGGCTAGGGTGGGCTTTTTGAAGTTAGAGGGTGGAGTCTCAGCCACCGAAGCAAGGGGAGAGGGAATGCAGAACAAGCTGTGGACACCAATGGGAATGGAAGGCTTGGAGAAAATGGCAGCCTGCGTGAAGAGAATATAGTGTGGGAGGGGAGATGGGAAAGAACCAGGAAATGGGTGGGAACACAGCCATGCCTGGATTTCGAGAATGCCACCTAGGATTTCAGCTGAGAGGACATGCAGATTCTCTAGCCCATATAGCATTTACCTTTCCTGCCATTTTATGGATGGGAAAGCTGAAGTTCTGGACGGGGATGGATGTCCAAAGTCAGAGAGCTGATCTACATCAACGGTAGTTCTGAGACCCAGGGCTTCCAAATCCAGGTACCATTTCCCACTGCAACATCCTCAATCACACCAGAGAGATCCCATTGGCTCAGAAGGACATGGGGCTTATAGTCAGGAGCCTGAACTCAAATTCCAGCTCCAGCATTTCTGAACTGACCGTAAGCATGCTGCTTACCTCCTGATTTGTTAGGCAGGGTAGGTTGAAGTGTTAGGATCAAATGAGTTCACATGGAAGCCTCTTAGCAAGACACCTAGCACCAGGAGGGATCAGAAAACATGTGCACCTTTCCCTTCCCTTGGGAAATGCAGGCTTGGCCATTAGGGGGTCCAAGTGCTGAGGGAAGGCTGCCTGTCAAGATGCATGAGCAGGTCACCCCCAGAACTGTGTGGAAGGGCAACCATGTCTGGGAGGCCTCTGTTCACCCATGTAGGTTGAGGAGGGAACTGGCAGGAGTCTTCGCTATCCAGTGGGGGCAGTTGGCTAGTTCTCAGGTCAGTGGCCAAAGGACACAGAGCAAGAACCCCATCAGGATTCTCAACTGTTAAGTCTGGGCCCAAGTTTGGTGCTCTATTTACTCCAGAGGAAAAGCCCAGGACAACCCCAAGATCCCTTCCTCTCCAGGTAGGAAGGTGGGTGTCAGAAGAGTAAAAAGAAAGACATGCTGATTCCATGCCTTTGTAGGGTGTCCAGGGCCTGGGTCCTCACCTGGAGGGCAAGCTTAGCTCATTGTGTCACATTGCCAGGCAGACCCCCTCTCAAGCCTACAGGCAGCCACAGTTCTGAGGATGAGGAAGTGACCTAATCTTTGGGGACACTGAATGACATCATGGACTCAGACCCCACCTCCACTGCCAGGCTCACCTGTCCAGGGTGGGCCCCTGACCTTGGGCACCAGAGAGGAGCAGAGTCAATGCAGTGGGATTGGGGGCCAGTTCCCATAGAGCTGGCTGAGTCTGCAGTGTCCATCTTCCTGAGCCTCCTTTTTCTCATCTGCAAAATAGTCAGGGGGATACTTGCCCTCACCTTCCTCCAGTAAGTCGGGTGAAGGCATTTCATGAACACCACAAAGCAGCAGAGTTCCCCGGGCCCGTGATGGTTGGCWTCCCAGCTGCTCACACCCCTCTCTCCCGCCAGACCAGCCTGTGTGTGGAGGTTCGATATCAGGCGACAGACGGCAAGGTGGGCTCCTGGGATGACGGAGACTTCCTGGGAGATGAGTCTCTTCAAGAGGAAGAGAAGGACAGCCAGGAGACGGATGGGCTGCTCCCTGGATCCCGCCCCAGCTCCCGGCCACCAGGCGAGAAGAGCTTCCGGAGGTAACAGGTTGGGCCCCTCCAGCTACCCACTGCCCCCAAAGACACGGGGAGGAAGCCTGATCCCACTGGAAGGCCCCCCCCAGGCCTGTCCGGGCTTGGAGTGCAGGGCTGAGTTGCTGCAGAAACATATGAAGCGGGCAGAGGTGTTGGCAAGGTGCCTCACCTGCACCCCCAAGAGCCCACGGAGGAGGCAGCGGGGACTCAGATAGGGATCCCACAGGGATCAGAGGCCTCTCTCAGGGTTAAGCTCTAACATGAGGGGAAGGGGCTGGACCTCCTACTCCTCGGGGAATGTGAGAAGGAACAAGGAGGCCTTGACCTTACTAGTCCAAGACCCAGCAGGGCCAACCAAGCCCAGACAACCTGGCCTGCACCCTGGCCTGGTGAAGTCACCCTAGAAAGGGAGGCCTCTTCCTGCCAACAGTCCTGCTTGAGACCCAGCCTCTCTGCTAAGAATGTGTCTMAGTGGGCTGGGGCTGGAGCTCAGTGGTAGAGCACTTGTCTCTCATGTGTGAGGCCCTGGGTTCGATCCTCAGCACCACATAAAAATAAATAAATAAAAATGAAGATATTGTGTCCATAAACAACTAAAAAAAAAAAAAGAAAAAAGAATGAGTCCCAGCAGGCATGGTAGCACACATCTGTAATCCCAGCAGCTCTAGAGGCTGAGGGAGTAAGATCAGAAGTTTGAGGCCAGCCTGGGCAACTTAGCAAGACCCTGTCTCAAAACAAAAAATAAAGGGCTGAAGATGGAACTCTGTGGAAAAGCCCCCATAGGTCCAGTACTCCCACCCACCCAAGAAAAAGAGTCCTGGCACTTCTGTGGCCAGAATACATCCCTGCAAATGTCCTGCCACCTGCAGACGACAGGGAGCTGTGTCATTCCACAGGCGTCCCATGAGCTGCTCACATGCACTATTTTTTTCAATAAAGGAAATGCCATTGCATTACTCCCTGAGTGCAGAGAGGCCAGATCGAGGCTAGGCTAGTGAGATGGCCACAGGTTCCAGGATGGCTGGAAACGGTGTGAGAAATGCCCATAAGCCTAAAGGATCAGGCTGTGTGAGAGCAGGGATCCTCTAGGTCCCTGGAAGCATCTTCCTCTCATCTCCTTCTACCCTTTCCTTCCCAAATAAAGTTCACTCAGTCCCTGTGCTGGAAAACACACACACACACACCACACACACACACACACACACACAAGTCCCCAACTAGTGCAATGAAAGTGATTCGCTTCTATTAGGAAATGTATTTTCCTTCTTCACACTTGAACTTTTTCGCGCTTCTTTACCCCTCCATCCCCACACAAGCTTAAGAAACCTTGAGACTGTCTACATTGGGCCAGCCATGGTCCCCCTCAGACTCTAAGCCTAAGTGCCAACTCTGCCTCTTACTAGCCATGTGGCCCTGGGCAAGTCACATAACCTTTTTGACCCTGTCCTTTCGACTTTAAAATAGGAAAAGCCATGAAAACCCCAGCCCTGTTGTCAGGAGAGCCAAGGGGACCCTCAAGAATGAGTTGTAATCAAGGAGCCAAGTACTGCCAGGGAGGGTTTGGTGACAATAGGTTCTTTGTCCTGGACCATGCAAAGGATCAGGAATGGAGTTAGAATGCTGAGGGGAGGAGCAGAGACCCAGTAGGGCCGAGGAGCTGCTGACACTTGGTCCCCATCCACTGACTCCACTCAAGGAAGAGCTGAGCAGGGCTGGTTCAGAGACTGCAGGAGACCTCTAAGAAAGGGCTCTATCAGGACATGATTGGAAGCATAAGAGGGCCATCAGTTGTAGGGACAGGAGTGCTGACCTGAATCACGAGAGCTACATTCCATCATGACTCTGCCACTCCCCAGCTAAGTGACTCTGGGTATGTCACCAACCCCTCAGGACAGTAGTAAGCATGAGTTCAGCAGATTGGCAGGCTGGGCCCTCAACTCTGACATCCTGAGGGACCCAGGGTGCTCTGGATCCTATAGGTAGCATCCATAGGAAGCAGCTCTCTTGGGAGCTCCTGGTGGCCAAGGGCTGGCTCTGTAGGTGGCTATAGCACAGGTAATGCCAAGCCAGTCCTACAGAAGGGGGCCTAGAAAAACAAGATGTAACTCAGTTCTGAGACCTCCAGAGAGTTCTGGGCACCAAGGACATAGAGCTAGAGGGCTCCTCCCACCCTTCCCCTCAGCACAGCCCGCCATTCCCTCCCCCCCCCCCACCTTCACATGGCTACTCCCAGGAAGCAGCAGCAGGATGAGGGGTTTCATCCAAGCCACTGGGAACTGAGCAAGGGTGACAGCATCTGCCAGAGCTTCTTGTCTTCCAGGTGCCACCACCCTGATTGGAGGGCAGGTGAGAGCACACACTTTCCCGGCCTGCCATGGGGGCTGCCAGTCCTGGCCTGAGAGCACCGTGGCCTTGGCTATTGTCACCACACCCTGTCTCCAGGCCTTGCAGTCAACCCCCAACCCAGCCACTGCCTGTGAACCCTCTGCTCCCACAGTTCCACCTCTCCTAGGCCCAGCTCAGTGGCATGACCTCTGATCTATTCTGCCCACATCTCTAGTCCCTGCCTCCAATCAGGGGCCTCTGGTTCCTGTCGGCTCTCGTAAAACTCTCCCAGGAGGCAGAATCCTGCCAGGATACAGTGCAGTACAACGAGAGCCTCCAGCTCTGCTGTTGGAACCCACCTTCCCATATGTAAGATGGGCTCCCCGATACCCACGGGAGTGTTGGGAGAAGTAGAGGTAATCGTGTGGTCACCATAGTGCCTGGCAGGTGACAGGTGCTCAGGCAGCCCTCATTTTCTTCCTCTTCAGGCTCCACATTACCCTGACCCCAAATGAGCAAGCAGCACCTTTTGGTCCAAGTCCCTTCCTAGTGCTGACACGCTATAGCAAGGGGTCTTTGAATGTTGTCCACACAGGAGATTCGGCCCCCTGGGCAGAGACAGGAGTCTCATTTACCCCACTTCCACAGCTCTCATAAGCCCTCTGCTTTCAGGAGCACAAAATCAGGGTTCAAACCCTGCATGTTGGCACACATTGCCTCAGCCTCTGGAAAGACAGGTGACTTTGGCCCCAAAGACACAAAAATGCCCATGTGTTTACACACATTCACATGCATACACTTTACGTGACAACAGGGAGTGGCACACGGCGCTGGATGCTGACCTCTGCTGTGACTCTGTCTCTTAGAACAAAGAAAGGAGCCTCAGCTTTAATCTTGCCTGCACATTTTCTCCAGATTCCCTGTATTCTGAAACATTTGCGCCTTCTCATATTCTACCTGCTCTAGCCCTCCAACCCTCTATTACCTGGGGCCTCCTTCTAGGCTGCTCTCTGCTGAGTCTCATTTGGGAGGAGGAACGACAGGAGGTGTTCTTTTTATCCACCTATGGACATTCTTCCACTCCAGTGGAGATCTGTGGAAGCCAAGGACCTACCCACCATGTCTGAGACAGAATGACACATCATTCTTTAAAATACAAAATTAGACAGGCACTGGCAGCCAGGCATGTATGGAAGGCCAGGGGCTGTGAGAGAGGTACACAGCTGTGTGCTAGGGTTGAGTATGGCAGGTGTGTAGAGGTGCAGTACACCCTGCCTCGCCCTCGGTGTTCCTTTATCAGTGCCCTCCACTCCCAGAGAGCTAGAAGAGCCTTCCCTGCATCCCTTGGCCAGGCTGGCTCCAGACCTACAGCAGCTCCAGAGGAGCCAGGATCAGCCAGTCATGCCTAGATCACGGGTGAATGGGGCTCAGGAGATTCCTCTCCAACCCTATTGCTCCACCTGATGTTTGGGCCACCCCCAGCCCAAGACCTAGTGAGGCCTAGCACCATGAAGTACCTGGGCCCTAGTAAGCACTAGAATCCCACAGGGTCGCCATGTTGATCCTGCTCTTCTGTGGCTGCTTTTAACAATGAAAAGAGGGATGGGGATGGGGATGGGGATGTGCATGGAGATGGGGCTTAAAGAAGAAGTAGAGTTGAGCTAAGGCTGAGTGCCAGACTCACACAGAGAATGCTAGAATGCTGGCTGAGGAACAGAACTTACCCAACCAGGAAGGGACACCAAAACCACCATGTGGACTCTAGGAGGGAGTTCAAGTTCACCCAGGGCTTCCCCACACAAATGGAACATGAAGTCATGGTTTGCTGGCTGACTGAATAAGGGCAGCCTGAGCCTCTGCAAGCTCACTTGGAAACAGACAAGAAGAAGGTCCACTTCACAAGGCAGATTAACTATGGCACAGCCTGCTGCTAATGTTGACAGCAGCAGTAACAGTGGTCGTAGTAAAATCACGAAAGTATTCTTTCTTCAAAGAAAGACATAGCCTTTCCCTTCTCCATTTCCTCACTCCGGGAGTATGGGCCTGTGTGTGTTCCCTTTGTTGGGTCTGAGGCCTGGAATAGGTAAGGAGGAGAGAGGAACGGAAATCCCCCACTGAGTGAACCTAACATCTCTGTAGTTTTAGAGCAAAGACCAAAATAAAAGAGGAAAGCCTCAGTGCCTGTTGCTCAGCACACTGAGTCCACCTTTCTGCCCACTCTGGCCCACCTCCCGGTGTTGGACCTCCCCTCCTGGTTCCTCTGTTGCAAGAGGTTGACAGATTTTCCAGGGTCACAGCATTCTTTAAAATACAAAAATGAGACAGGCACAATGGCATACTCCTATGATCCCAGCTACTAGGGAGGAGGAGGCAAGAGAACCCCAAGTTTGATGTCAGCCTGTACAACTCATTTTGAGGTCCTGTCTCAAAACAAAATAAGGACTGGGGTGTAACTCGGTGTTAGAGGGCCCCAGGGTTCAATCACCAGTACAGGGTGGGGGAGGGGGAATGCACCTCTTCCTCAGAAGCTCAAATAGCAACTCAGAGAAAAGCTACTCTCCTTGGATTAATGTGAAGATGGAGATCAGCAAATTTCCCATTGAGCAATGGCTCACTGGAGCCCCTGCTCCCTTGAGCAAGCCCTAGCAGCCTTCAGAGGCCCTTGTGGGTGCCCACAACAA